ATTCATATATTTTTTGGTTTATAATGCTTGATGGCAATATATTTCTGGAATAAGAGAAAATATGTAGGCACCTTTTATTTACTAGATCTAGACCTGAAGTTGACAAACCCAAGACTATCTAGTGTAATGAAATTACAATGTACATACAACTTTCGTAATAATTTGAATGGTATGTAACCATTTTGAAGGAATGCATAAATCGTAAGAAATCTTTAGTTGCCAGCTATATAGTGTAATATCTTGATGAAATGTGTCTGAGTCAAAGATGTACGTGTTGTTGATCGTTTGATCGTGTGTACATTTTTGTGATATCTATAATGAAATGATGTGCATTCGTTTTAACAATTATTTGTTACCTATTCATATTCTTGGTGTTTGATTAGAATTTTTCTATTAAATATGATCTTTTTAAAGTAAAAGTACAATTTCTGATAAATATTTAACCTGAAAGTAACCCCAAACAATCATTTAATTATAAAAACCCGTGTAAGTGCAAAAAGGTCAAGAATATGAGTATCGGTAAATAGCCTATCTTTCATTAGTTAGAGGGGAAAAGTATATATTTTAATCATTTTTTGTAATCATTTGGCTATGTTCTTCATCATATTGAAGATTGAAAACATTGTGACAAAGACTTCTAAAAAATATTTACAAATATAGGGTGCATAATTGACTAAAAATAATAGAGTTCATTTGACTATTTTTTTTTAATGGTAGACTTATCTTTTATGTTAATTGAATAAAAAAGAAATTATTCTTGATAAAATATTGTTTAATATTATTCAGTTAAAAAAGTTTATAAACGACGATGTTTGGAGAAGTATTTTTGTGATTTTTCATATTCCCTTTATGACAAGTACCCCTAAAAATATTTGAAAATGTGAAGTCGCAGTATGTAAATCCCATACCAAGTTTCACAGCCTGTTCTAGATTAAAAAACAAGGAAACATATCATGATATCTTAACTGATTGATAAGCAAGTACTAATTTATCATTTTGAAAAGTTTGAAAATCTTGTGACAAAGACTTTTCCGACATAGGTTCTACTTTAATTCTTGTTTTACTCCACCCTTTTACTCAATTCTGAGTATATTTTTCAGAGAATTTAATATGAAAATCAGAATAAACATTTTCATCGTTGTAACGTGTTCTTTATAATGTATATTAATATGAAAAGTTAATTAAAGACCATTTCTTTTTATGTCCCCGTAATCGAAGATTCGAGGGTATATAGTTTTATCGTGTTCGTCTGTATGTCCGTCTGTCTATCTGGCGGTTGGTTTGTCCGCAAAAACCTTAACCTTTACCATAACTTTTCATTTATTGGAGCTATGACTTTCATATTTAATATGTATATTCTTTGTGACAAGACCTTACTTTGGGTACCACCAAATTTGACCTTTTGACCTTTACCTTGGAGTTTGTCCCATTTTACACAAAAATGCCAAATTTTTACTTTGGCCATAATTTTTAAACGGTAGGTACTAGTACTCTCATACTTCAAATATGTAGTTTTTTGGCATTACCTTTCATTGGATACTAAAAACCTTGACCTTTTGACCTTGACCTTGGAGTTTTCCGTACTTATGATTTTTTTTTACCTTGGCCATAACTTTTGAACGGTAAGGGCTAGGGTATTCATACTTCACATATGTAATCCTTGTTACATTAAACATTTTCTTAAGAAATCATCAACTTTGACCTTTGAGTTTGACCTACCTTTCAAAAACTTATCCTTAGCCATTACTTTTGAACAAGTGGTGCTAGGGCTTTCCTATTTTGCAGTTGTATTTCTTGTGAGAAGACCCTACTTTGGGTAACAATATATTTAAATTGCATTTAAGAAAAGTTTAATCTTCGCTATGTTGCCATACAGGGGCATAGCTGTTTCACAAACACATCTTTTTATATATGAGGATTTGCGGATAAGAGATGGATACCTCAAAGCGTAACAGACGGACGGACGGACATCCCGATCACTATATACCCTCCCGCTTTTCAAGCGGAGGATATAATAATATATAATACTGCTGATTTTTTTCTGTCAGTTCGATGATTTGCACCATCAAAAAACAATGTTTACCTAACCCTTAAGGCTTGATAAATCTTTTACTCCTTTAGATTCTGAATCATTGCATTTACCTTAAAATATAGCTATAATTGTATAATGTTATGAGATCAACATATCATCAGTTTATTCCCAATAAGCTCAGGTGAGCATTTTGGCCAATATGCTTTTTTATCCAATTTTTTTTTTGCCCCCTAAAAATTTTAGCTTTAATCTGTGGGGGGTCATTTTTCTACGGGGGTCATTTTTCTTCACGTGGGTTCTGCAAATTTTTAGTGAAGTGACACTTTTTCTACGGGCAAAAGGGTCATTTTTCTACGTCGAATAATGACCGGGGGTCATTTTTCGCTGTCGAAAAATGAACCCCGGTCATTATTCGATGGGGGTCATTATTCGTCTTTACACCGGTCCAACCCGCTGTGTGCTCCTTGTGATGGTTTGGAAATAACGAAAACATTCGTCGGCAATTCAGTATGTATGGCCTAACAATTAGTATGAAAAACGTCACTCGGCATGATTATTTTTAATTATTTATAATTTTATTTGCTGACAAGGGCATTGCATCGACCATAGAACTTACGAAATGATGACTTTAAAAGAGACTATTGATATTCTTATGTCATCAACTTGTTTGTCAATAATTTACCTCGTTTTAGAGATTGTACATACGTAGAGCATGTTCATACGTAGAGAATCAAATGAGACATATGAACACCGTATGCAGGTGATGAAGGTATGTTGCTGCATAAGTAAAGCAATTGAAAAGTTAAAGTGAGCGTTTATCATAGAGCTTGGTTTTTAGATAACCATTAACGTCTTCTTCAAGTAAAATATCCAAATACGAAACAGGTGTTTTAAACTCTGTGTTATCCTTATCTCCAGCTAATCGGGATATATCGTAACGAAATAAGAATGGAAATAACAATTGTTAATTGACAACACGCCGTCTGATATATAAATATCAAGCTGAAGGCCACCGCAAGTTTTTTCTTCTTTTCACGTATAATGTTTTAGACAAATTCTGCTTCATATGAATACAAAAATAAGTCTGCTTATAACAGTTGACAATTGGTACCCATGGGAATTCCAATAGATTTTTGGAAGACCTGAGTACCAAAAACCACATAGATATTGTCAATCAGAAACGAAAGCATCTGTTTAATGAAACTTCATAGTACTGGTGTTTACAATCAGAATTTTTTTTTTAACAAAATATTTTTCCAAATGACCAATGACAAGGTAAAAAAATACGAGTTCCATTTTTATTGAAAAAGCAGCTGTAAACGATATCAAAAACCCTGGACCTTGATTTATCGTGGGGAATGGTGGTGTATAAAGTTGAAAAGTCGTAATTCTTTAAGCTTAGGGAGTAGAAGAAAGCTTTCTTCTTTTAATTTAATGAAGAGCAATTGATTTTTCATCATTTTTGAATTCAATTTAAAATACAAAGGATGTATATTCATTGACTTCTTTCTCAAGGAATCTTTTTCCTTTTAACATTTTTCGTACAAACATATCTACCATGTTCAATTCTCAGTTCATGTGCAATTATTCAAAGTTTACACAACACTTTCCTCTGTTCAAGAGATTTAAAGGCATGGCAAAGATATCCTTAGAAATGTATTAAAGTTTTCAAATGTTTGATCTTCATCAGGGTTTTTTAAGCTTTTAAGCTAGTATTAGTAAAATGATTTTTGATCAGTAATGTTCTATTCTAGACCTGAGAAACTTGCTTAGAGCCTCGAGTACCTGTTTCCTTGTATAGACATATTAAGCAAGACACTTGGTCGATTCATTTAGTTTATAACTCATTGGAAAAAATAAGTATGTATCAAGGAAATTCAATGATCTTCAGATTATATCATATCCTCAAAAATACTCTCCATCAAATTTTGCGAACCCCTGAATATGGCTATAATATTGCCGACTCAGCGAAAACATATGTGAATGATGTATAAACCTTTTATTAAAATTTTGTCTTGCTATTTTTGTAACTTCGTATTCAAAATAGATGAATGAATCCTTGTTTGGAGTTTGATTCTTATTCATTAAATGATGCATGAAAACCCTGTGAATAAAATGGTCAATTAGTAACAAAATAAAATGAAATTCATACACTGTAAACTTTAGCCAAGAATTACTTCACACTTTACTTGCCGCTGTTTATTATACAATTATGGACTCTTTTGGTGTTGAATATATACATGTATACGCCCGTTCCTCAATTTGTTTGCACACACCGTTGTAGTTATGAGACTATATCTTTAAAAAAATGATTCATTGCTTAATTACATTCAACTATCCTATTATGACGTCATCTTGTGCTATATGATATTTTCTTTAATTTTTAATATTTCTTGCTTTAGGTATAATGTACAGATAGTTTTAAAGAATATTAGTTGAGTGAAGGGGAAAATTGCAAGAAACTTTTTTTTTTAGAAATTTATTTTTTTATCTTAAGTGTAAAATATTTCAAACTAAGTTTATATATATTATAGCAAAATGTTAAAGATAACGGCGTCTGTGGAGTAATCGATAACGCGTCGGACTGACAATCTCGAGATCGATCCCCGGCATGGGCTTCGTAGTATTTCCTTCAGAAATGGAGGCCGTGCACTATTTCTGCATACTATGCTTACGCTATATAAATCCTAAGAACACTATGCGATAATATTTGGGTGTGGGTTATATTGAGACAAACTGACAGGAAGCATAATAAAGTGATATAGCTGCTTTTAATTCAAAGTGCAATATAAATTTAATTTATTTCTAAAAGTACATTGTTTGATATTCTTTTGATCTTTAATTCTTGTGGATATATATGTTAAATAAATTATTTTCTCATAAAGCATACAATGTAAAAAGTCTAAATAGGTGTATCAAATAATATTCAACTTATGTTGTTAAATTCTTTATACTTAGAGTATCAGGCCACACAGATATCATCTGATCTGTCACAATCTCTGCAGGGTTTATGATTTAAATGGACACATAATTGTTGGGTAGGTAAAGGCTTACTGAGAATGCATGTTCTGACATATACAACAAAGATAAAAGATTACGTAGAACGAAAAAAGTCAACATTGATCAGAATACCGATAATTATGCCGGTTTTTCACTTGTCTACTACAGTGTATATCATTTTCAGAAAGATAAGATCATGGCAGAAAAACTGTTTTTAGAGGACTATGCTACTATCGGGGTCTATTTTTTTATTGTTCTAGCCGTCGGATTATGGGTATGGTAACATTTACTTTTTTATTAATCTATATTGTAAGAGAATTGTTTTCATCATCAAGATTAAAATTTCGTTAAAGTTCAGAGTAGATACAAAATTTCAAACAATGTGAAATAGGTGTTCTTTTATTTCAGTCGACATTTAGACCTAACAAGGGTAATGCCAAGGGTTACTTTCTAGCTGGGAAAAACATGCACTGGATACCAGTATGAACTAACTTTATTGTATTAATCCTGCAGACAGTTATTACCAGTTATAACATGATTTATGTTTCATCTATGCAGAATGCACTGGATATCTGAATTGCAATGTTAATACTGAATGGTTTTTTAGGTTAAAAAAAAATGACTATTCAAAATCAACGATTTCCCTTCTTTCATTTAATTCTTGTTAGGTGTCATTTTTGTGTACATAGTTTGTGTTTTTTTTTTCATCTCAATGATGACGTAAGATGTAATTTTGTATTTGCACAAATGTTGTAATTATAATTATTATTGTAATTATAATTAATTGTCTGATGTTGTTTGTTTTTGGTGCGCTGGTTAGATTGGGGCCTCTATCTATGCCAGTAACATAGGAGCTCCGATGTTCATTGGGCTCGCTGGTTCCGCAGCAGGCTCTGGTATCGCCGTAACTATATACGAATGGCATGTAAGTTATCATTGTCCTTATCTTGTTTACATATTTTAGATCGATTTTGAAGATATGCATATCAGTTAATTCGGATTTTTTTAAAGGTAACAACGTTAGTTCTCCTTTTGGGATGTATTTCTCGGTTAATGTTATAGAACAATATTATTTTCTGCATACTGTAAACGTATCAAAGAACTATATACGATATATACATTGTTTTGCCTCCGCAAAAGTTATATTTCAAAACTTTTTTTTAAAATGTGCTAAATTGTTTAGTTAGTACATGAATTCTAAATTAACAAAATATATTGCACTTTCAAAGTAGGTTATTGACAATTTCTGTTTCTATGACATCACAAACAATTCGGATTTTACATGTATGTTATTTTTCAGCAAGAGAAAAAATAGACAAGTTTGTTTTTTTTTTTACTATAAGATAAAAAGAGCACAGACCTGCTCCAGAATAATGTTTTAATATTTTATTGAAATTATTATTCTACACATTATATCAAAATATTGATCAGCAGACCTGCGCTCGGTGACTTTTACTTAAAAGATCTACTTCATATAATCTTTTTATCTGAATAAATCATGAAATTTTTAAAGTTGCATCATTTTCAGTCGTCATATCTAACATATGACGTCATGGTTTATGAAAATATTAAGTGCTTTGAAGTGTGTGATTATATCCCCTGTTTTGAACATAATTAGTTATTTTTCCATCAAAGTTTGATTTTGGGGGCAAAAATTGGTCATTTCTGAATATAGTCTCTTGGCTGTGTATTTCTTTTTAGGTAAATCAAGTGCAGATGGCTTGCACATTAACAAATAGATACAGAATTAAGAAAATGGCTATTTCAAACCTACGCTAACTTAATCAAAAATTAATTTAAGCCAAATATCGTACACACTGAATATACACTTTTCAGTATATCACAATAATTTCTTTAGTTGCCTGGTTATCGTAACATCAATCGGATTTTTTTTTACAGGCGGTGTTTTTCCTGATTTTGTTAGGTTGGGTGTTTCTTCCAGTGTATGTTGCATGTGGGGTAAGTGTTTGGAATTCAAACTTTTTATCAAATTAATTTAAAAAGGATGTGTTTAACGTAACTCTTTACATAGGCATACACAATACCGGAATGGGTAAAGAAGCGCTTTGGTGGAAGACGACTGCGCATGTATGTCTCGTTCCTCGCCCTGATTGGATACATCCTCTGCAACATATCGGTTAGCAAAATAAATCAATTGTCATTTGGCTAATAATAGACAGCATGTTTCTTCCTTTAAAGTACTAACTTTCAAAATGAGAAAAATAACCATGCATATTTTATGAAACACTCCTCTCTATTCTTAATATAATGAATTCTTTGCCCAATATGAATTTAAACTTGATCACTTCAAAGGGAAATGCTACAAGCAAGTTTTAAAAGCGTTAATGGTAGACATTCCCTATTGTAAAACCGAAGTCAGCTGAGTGAAGAATTTAATTTAAATATGTTAATTGCAGCATGCATAGTAAGGCCTTAATCATAAGTGATACCATGGTGTAATGTTTAATGTTGAATGTTTAGTAAATAAAGAACTGATCACTGAAATTATTTGCTCCCAAAGCTTGAATTTGATCATTCACCATGAATAATATATTAAATGCAGCATCTAAATCATGATCACAATATGTATCGCATGATGCCATTTCTGTGAAAGATAAGTCAAAGTAGGCAATTTAATTACCTGGAAATAAACAGTGAGGCAATCACCCAGAAAGCATAATAAAAGACACAGTCAACTTGTTGTATACATCCCAAATTATAACTTCTACGCAAGACTGGCCAATGTAACGAAAAAAATGTTTTTGAATAGTCTTAATTCATGCATAACCTCAAGACTTCTATTTTTAACTATATCCTCCACCCTTCTTCCAATTTACCCATCTGGAATTCTAACGAAATAATTGATAGTAAGTGTTGAATTCTGGGTAAGAAGTTATTCCTGGTAAATTGTTTACTCTACTGCAGAGACAGTATCTCAGATTGCTGTAAAACGTAAGGCTTTCAACAACAAAAATTGCCAAGGTGTACCCACGCTGCTCAGACAGACGTCTTTTAACCCTCACAACTTTTTTTGTTTTAACCTTTAATTTATACCAGCTTCAACATATTCTAAAAGTGATGGAAATCAAATGTTGATTCTAAAAATACTCCATAGAAATTTAAGAAAATGTCTTTAATTACATTTTGTTTTTCAAAGATTAGTAGCATAAAGCGTATGACTTCTCTACACTTTGTACAACAAAATGATTTTGTTTCAAATCATTCTGATTCTACATGCGAACGTTCTGAAGTTGATATTAAAGGATGCTTTCTCAGAGTTCCTCATTTACAACATCTGTGTAGTCTTGGGAGACCAAGTGTTCCAACAAATTTATGGAATTCCGATGGGAATTAATTCTGCTCCTTACTAAGCCAACCTATTTTTGTATTCCCATGGAGCAGAATTCAGTCAACACCTTTAACATTAGGTAAAAATAAACTTGCTGTTGCCTTTCTCTCGACACTCACATATATAAACAATCAATTAAGGATGGTAACTTCCATTCATATGTCGATTCGATATATCCCAGGAACCCCAGAATAAGAGACACCACAGGGTCTACCATATCTATTTCACATTCGGATTATTGACTTTAGACGGTAGGGGCCAACTAACTTAACGACATGACAAACCTTTTCCTCATCAACGTTCCTTATTTATGCAGAAGTATCCTGCTGTCACTTGCATATGGTGTTTATGCCTTCCAACTTATTCAATACCCAAGATCATGCTCAGAATAAAAGAAATGAAAATTAAACAGGCTACAGATAAAAACGTTCATATAACAGGAATTTGAACAACCTCGTTTAAAGTTAGAATTTTTAACTTCAATGTTCATGTTTCGTTATAACGACTATGTTAGCAAGCATTAACTATCATTAGGATTTAATATTCAATAACAGTTGTTAGGCTTTTGTTTTAATACTTAATTTCCCTACGAAACCATTCAAAAAATAGAAATCATGTTTGGTTATAAAGCTATGTTAGAATTAACCATTAGGATGTAATATTCAATACAATTGAGGACGCTTACTTCGAAACCATAAAAAAATAAAAATCGTAATTTCACCTCTTGATCAAGTACAGGGTCAGTGTTTTATATTCTGTTCACAGATTTGCTTTGTTTGAGTTTTTTTAGATCATTTTTTTTTTATTGTCACTCTATTTCTAATCTAAAATTTGGAAAATGCTTCACTGATTACATATAAAAAGGTATCTACAATTTGTACATAACAAGAAAAATAATTAATGTTCACTATGTTCAATTGTTATTTGTGCTGATATTTTGTCATCCGTTATTTTATAGGGCGAAATATATACAGGGGCCATATTTCTTCAGCAGATGTTAGACTGGAATATTTACCTATGTGTTAGCATTATTTTGGGAATAACTGCAATTTATACAACTGTTGGTATGTATATTCCCGATAATTCTGAAAACATGAGCTAGTTCAGTTGTTCATTTCTTCTTTACTCTTCGATATTGCATAATCAAAATTATTAAGAAACAGAATAATACTTGTCGGTAGATTTGACAATAGTGACTATGAACATAATTTTTCATTTTTCAGGTGGATTGGCTTCAGTTATCTACACAGACACATTACAGACGGTTGTACTCGTAATCGGTGCCACCATTTTGTTTTTGATGTGTTAGTATCAATCATGAATGTGTTTTGTTTACCTTTGTTATATTTATTTAAATATTCCTCATCATTGTAATGATTTTATGTTGAGTTTCACAATTATACAAGAGACATTCATCACACACAATTATCAATAAACAGTGTTCACTGTTTTGGAAGAAGGAAGTTAACAAGTTGTTTGATCAGTTTGAATTCCTTATTTTTGAGGCTTGTCACGGGTGCATTGTTTTATGTTGGAGGCATACCATGCTTGATTATTTAAATCATTGTTTGTTTTATGGACTTTAGATTGAAGTATTGCCAAATTTAATTATTTAGATCATTCTGACGACCACAGTTAAAGTGGCTAACAATTCCTTAATATTGTAATGATTTTAAGTTGAGTTTTATTTATGAAGGTGCAAAACTTCAAGATTAACATTTGAAGTTGAGGTCAGATGGCTGAAAAAAAAACATTAACCAAGGAAGTTCGGCAACTTTTACAAGGAATTCTTATTTTTGAGGGCTGTTCAAAAAATATTGTTTCATGTTGGAGGCATACCGTACAGATATCATGTTTATTTAAATCATTCTTTTGCATTTTTGGTCAGGCGGAATGAATGGTATAACAAATTATTTGATCATTTAACGACATAGTTTCATTGTGCAGCTAACATTTTTTAGGTTGACTGCATTAAAAAATTGGATAAAGAAGGTGCAAAACTTGAAATTAAGCTTTTGTAAAAATTGTTAATAATCCCAAAGAATTATTCACTGAAATATGTAAAATTTATAAGGCAATGTCTTTTTATAGGGCAGGTATAAATTCTTGATAAAAATTCTTCAGTAAGTCATAACTGTGATATTTGCCAAAAAAATATAACAATTTATATAAGATAAATGTGCAGACCAATAATAGTTATATCGTCAAAAAATATTGATCATTCTGTTCAGTCACTTAATGGAGGAAAGTTATTATTTTGAAATCAATTGAAAATCCTCTTGACAGATTAGATAATCTGTTGTAACTAAATGTTATACAGTATAGCATTAAAGAAAATACGCATCAAAGTACTTTTACCTGCTAATCTTTTTAAAGTTCGAGGGGAAAAAAATGGATTCATTTAATATTGTATACCACTGCTAGAAATCTGTAACCATACGAGGGCTGTTCAATAAATAATGTCCTGAACTGTATGACATACAATACAGATATCGTATGACATTAGGCTGACTTTTTTTTAATCTTTCATGAATATATAACAATTTATGTGATCACTTTTCATCACATAGTTTCAACGTAAGCAGCTGGAAAACAAGGGCTTTTCGAGACATTGCATTAAAAATGAATGGTAAAGAATCGGTATACTAGATTGAAATTAAACGCTTCATTAAAGCTGTTGTAAAAATTGTTAAGAATCCCAAAGAAATATTCACTGAAATGTGTAAAATTTAGGGAAACCAATATCTGTTTTATATCGCCAGATCTTTCGCCTTTTAACTTGTTTCATTTTCCAAACTTGAAAAAAAAACACCTTTCAGAAGGACAAAACGAGTCCAGGAAATCATAAGATATTCCATTTTCCAGTAAACTAGGGGTCATACCCATAAATGAGGTCTAAAAACAATCAGAAATTGGATAAAAACATTTTACGGACATGTGTTTTAATTAAAACAAAATATTAAGTTAAATCATTCAGACTAAATCATTGAAAAGCGTCTTTTGCTTCCGAGCACTGAGTTCATTATTTATTGAACAGCCCTCGTACCTCACTATCCAATTACCATAGGATCCTTTTTTTAAAATATTTATGGAAAACATCTCCCCTGATCTTTAAAAAAAAATTCTAAAGATAACTGTGTTATCAAGCTAAAAATATTATGCCCATCATTCGTTTGATATAGGCTTGTAGCTCTTGCTAATTGTAAATAAGTTCACTACGTCTTTGACGACCGATCGTGACAAAGAGTGTACGTGTTTGTTGTCACAGCCAACAAGGGACGCTTACATCACACCTGATCTCATGTCTACTGTTCTCTTATAGGTCCGTGCTCTGCTCCCGATTTGAATTGTTTCAATTATTTTAGCCTGATTACTGTTAGTTATTTCGATATATCATTTCATTATATTTATCAATCTTTGTGCAAAGTTCTTATTTTCAATGTTTTAGTTATGCTTTTTTTTAATTTTTTATTTATTTATTTTTTTTTTAAATATTTTTTTCATTTTACCCAAGGAAAAAAAGATTTTTTAGGCTTTTAAACCAATAAAAAATAACAAAATATTTATATTGAACAATTATTCGTTTAGCAATAATTGAGGTGGGAGGATACAAAGAAATGGAAACCAAGTTCATGGCTGCCATGTCAAATGAAACCCTTCACAATCAGACCTATTACAAATGCGGGGTTCCCCCGGCGGATTCCCTCCACATCTTCAGAGACCCCGTGACAGGTGACATCCCCTGGACCGGGGCTTTGCTGGGACTGTCCACTCTTGGACTTTATGGATGGGACCAGGACCAGGTATATTAATTGTAAGAACTTGTACCAGAAATAAATCACTAAGACAATGAAACTCTAACTGAAATATGGACTACAAAGAAAAACAATGTGTTATCATTACTAAACAAAGATTACATCAAGCAATAGTGCACGTATTGGATAGCTCAAATAGTTGTATTTAAAAAAAGTGCATTGTGACCTCTCTTTATTTTTTCTTTCTTTTTAATGCTTTCCGGTATTTTGCAGATAATTGTTCAAAGAACTCTGTCTGCTCGAAATATGGTGCATGCAAAGGCAGCAGTATTGCTCGGAGCTGTGCTGAAGCTGACGGGTTTTCTATTGTTCGTCATTCCCGGCATGAACAGTCGTATTCTCTTTACAGGTAAATCCTTGTAAGACCTATTTGACGAAAAATTATCTGCCTATATCATGTATATTACCCTTCAGTTTTCTTCTTTTGTAATAGAGGAAGTCGCTTGTGCTGATCCAGAGAAATGCATGGAATACTGCAATAACAGGAGTGGCTGTACCAATATTGCATATCCACTTATGGTTTTGCGGCTACTTCCCAAAGGTTACTTAACGTTTTATTTTCGGTATTTTTTGGACGTTGAGAGTCACTTTATTCGATATCTATGTGTGTGTATGATGTGTATAACCTTTTGTTTATTTACAACTGTTGTGTTAAATTTGATAAAATCTGTGTTTTTATTGAAAGTCTTGTTATTTATATTCGAGAGCTTAATATTCTTAATATTGTTATTCATATCCTAAAAGTTGAGATTTATATTTGCTAACTGTTATTTAAATTCGGTAACTTGGAGCTCAAAATCTATCCAAACTAAAATTTGTGAACAAATAAATTAAGTGCATTTTTAAAAGAAATGTAAACTAAGAGAGAAAAATATGATGAATTTTGCAGTATTTCAGAATATATATTCATTTTTAATATTTTATTCTGGGTTGCTAAATTGCTGTCCCAATGACACATTTAACTGTATCATTGCAACTAAATATGCTACGAGTTTTCAGAGAAAATGTTTGAATTTAATACTATTCCTTGTGAAGTACCTTTCATGTACTTTGTTTCAGTCGTTGACATGTTCCGAGCATAGTGCCTTTGTTTATTTCAAAGGGGCCAAATGTTTCACATGGGTTTAAATTAAGACTGATTCCTAGTCACGTAAGGGAAGAAACTACATCGTGTTAGAAAAATGCTCTTGTATTTTTATGGAGTTACGGCACTCTACCAGAAGGATATGGAGATAATGAACAGTATTCAATATCAAAGTCCAAAAAACAATGCAAAATAGGAACAGAACAAACACGGACCTCTGAAACATCTTAAATAAATTTTTGTTATCTTCCCCTATAAAAAATTCAAAACTGAAAACATAAACGATAAGATTGTTTGCTGAGTAAAATCCAGACAAATGATTAGTATTCCAACAAAACCTGAACAATTTCTAAGACGAGGTAAATTATTGACAAGGAAGTTTATGAAACAAGAATATCAACAGTCTCGTTTAAAGTCATCATTTCGTCATCATTTTATATGGTCGATACAATGACCTTGTCAGCAAATAAAATTTTATCATTGAGTCAAATGCTGACTGACATTTTTCATACAAATTGTTAGTCTATCATTTATACACTGAATTGACGACGGATTTTTCCGTTATTTATATCATGACAAAAAGCACTCGGTGGGTGTGACCGGTCAGCAGGGGATGCTTACTCCTCCATGGCACCTAATCCCACCTGTGTTTTTTCGGAGGTCCGTGTTTGTTCTGTTCCTATTTTGTATTGTTTTATGGACTTTGATATTGAATACTGTTCATTATCTCCATATCCTTCTATGAAAATCTGTTATTCATAGTCTATAATCTTGTGATATGTATGCAATATACAACTTAAATGACAAGATTACTGCATATTAAGCACTTTTATGTAAGAATTTTGAATTATGAATAAAAAAAACTGGTAGCGTTTCCAAATGCAAATTTTTTTTTCGCACATAAATCACAAAATAATTACATATAAATCACAAAATTATCAAACTGAAAGTTTTAGAATCTGAAGATTTAACTTTTCGTATAAAATTCCAAAAATTTAGAAAATGAATTGATAGATTATAAATATGATAAAGAAGTTGTCGAAAATAAATATAATGTTCTCGAGTACGAACAATAAGTTTCATTAAATATACAGCACATAAATGCACCGGTTTACATGTTATATGCATATGTATCGGCTACAGCTTCAAATAATGATTAGTTCTCAAAAAAAGATACATGCCATATTTAAAGTCATATAATGTGTGTGTAAATAGAGTTTACAGAATTAGTATTTTTATGTTTCTTCTTAGTTTTCTATGGCCGAAATATAAATTTATCCATATTTGCATTTCTATTTATGCTTTCCGGAAATGTTTAGGTCTACGAGGGCTTATGCTTGCTGCCCTGCTGGCTGGATTAATGAGTACACTTACTTCAATACTGAACAGCGCTAGCTCCATCATGACCCTCGATATCTGGCACCAGTTTCGTAAAAAGGCCTCTCAGCATGAGTTGATGATTGTTGGAAGAGTTACTGTCATGATCCTTGTTGGAATCAGTATCCTGTGGTTACCGATTTTACAGCAGACCCAGGGAGGGCGATTCTGGTTTTATATCCAGTCTGTGAGATCATATCTTGTACCTCCTCTGTGTATGATGTTCCTTCTGGGTTTGTTCTGGAAAAGGACCACAGAACAGGTTGAAAATTTAAAGCTTGATTTAATAATGCAGAGAGAATTTAAAGCTGCAGATGAGATTATTCATGTATGTTATTGAATTTGCTTTGATTACCGGTATATTTCATTTCAGGGAGTGTTTTGGGGACTGATGCTAAGCATAGTAGTGGGGTTTGTACGCATGGTTCTAGATTTTACTTTTCCATCCCCTGCATGTGGCAGTGATGATGTGGACCCTAGACCAAAAATCATCTCAAAAGTGGATTTCCTGCATTTTGCAACACTTTTAGCGCTATTTGCAACGATTGCTATGGTTGTCATCAGTTTGTTTACGCAACCTCGCCCTGCAAATAAGGTACATTGTTCTCATTGCTTAAATTGCTTCTCATTACATTGCTTAAAATAAATCCTTCAGTGCACGTTGAATGATAGAGTAAAAATAAATCTTAGTTGTCTTTAGCTCCACCGTCTCACCTGGTGGACAAGGAATGATGATGTACAACCAGAACTCACAGATGACGAGGATGAAGATGTTCACATCTCTGTTCCCTTGAAGGAAGAAGACTCAAAATCTATAGGGATTCAGGAAAACCAGAAACTGACATCTGATGAGGGTAAGATTTATTCAAATGTAGACCATTAGAAAGAATGAAGATATCGACCAGTGACTGTTTTTAAATGAAAACGATAAACAATGCAAATCAATGAACAAAGCAAAAAGACATACCCTCTCCCTGGAAACTCCCGAGTTGAGATCTGGTTCGTAGGAGGGGTAAGTATCCCCTTTCGACCGGTCAAATCCGCCGTCAGCCATGTGTATTACTTACACGAAATATTCCCCGATCAAATTTATTATTATAACAAATACCTATTAATTTGCTTTAAAAATGTTAGTAAAACACACCTAAAGATAGGTTATATATACATGTATGCTAACAAGGATTTTATAATGACCATAGAAATACGAAATGCTAATTTCAACCTAAGTTGTTGAAGTCTCTGTAACAATAATCTATATACGTCAGTATCGGTTTGAATTGAACATGCTCAGAACAAACGCTTGAATATCAAATTAATTGGGAGACAACGCCATATGCAGCTAAAATCGAAATAATACAACATAAATAAGGAAAATTGACGATGGAAAAGCTAAAGTCGTCTCGTTTGTCAAAGACCAGTTGTTGTGATTGTCCTTATCGTCTATAGTCAGTCAAACATTTACATATGATATAGATGTGGCATATCTTCAAAAACAATGTTTAATCATGAATGTTATGCATCTGATCAAAACATTCTGATGCGTCAATTTAAACGGTAGGAAAAATGATGTATGACATTTTTATTACTTTCCTTACGAACTAAAAAACAACAGTCATAATTATATTGATATACCAAACTGTATTATTGAGTTTGTTTCAGTTCACACGAAAATTAATTATTTGATTAGATAAAAGGTGTAAAAATTATTCACAATTTTAAAGTTTATACATCGATATTTGACATTATGTAATTTATCTTTTGTATATTTTTTTCACAATTTAAATATAAAATCAAAGTGAAGAAATATAAAAAAAATCACATTGTGAACAAATATCAGAAACTCGGTAAAACCAAGATGTTCCTCCTTTTCACGAAGAGTGTAAAAAATGCAAAACACTCCCCATTTACATGTAAATATAGTGAGAGTTTAAAAAAAAAACTGACAGAATCTAAAACTAACCAAGTTTGTACATGTTTTGTCCATGTCTTATAATCTTCAATCTCACAATTGCTTAGATATGACGTATCCATATCTCAACTTAGACATGAAAACCTGTCACACTGGGTTACAAAAAGGCAGAGGCAAAGGGAAAATCCAACAAATTCAATAAACAGAAATTTAGTGATTTATTGTTAAAAATATAGAATTTATTTCACTCGTGGGATATTGGATTTTATATTTTTACCATTGTTTGTTATTTGTAAAACATACGCTGTAAATCCTGTCCAACTCGTAAAATGAACTCCATATCGATATCCAAAACATTTTATCTACGTACACATGTTATACTATTTTCGGACTTGTTTTTCAAATTTGGATTCAAAATTCATTTCTGTTGACTGATAGAAAAAAAATTCTTAATACTTTCTTATTAAATGAGGAATCTTAAAAGTTGTGATCTTATTGTTTTATCCTTCGTAAAGCTTAATCAAGAATAAAAATAAATATACATGTTACATGTATATAATTGTTGAAATTAAAATAAAAAAAACAGTAATAGATAATCCCTTTATTCAATAGGAAAAAATACATAGGCTGTTTCGAGCATTTTACACTGATTAATGTTGTCCGATTATCTTAAATTCAAATTTACAAGTTTTTTTTAATTCAAGGTATTGTCTCTGCATTTACAGGTGGTTTTAGAAGACTCTCGATCCTTTGTAAGAATTGGGTCTGTGGAATTGATGAGGATGCTAAACACACCATGACTCGAGAGGAGATAAAAGAATTAAGACAGAAGATGACGTCATTAGAGGAGGCCTCGCGGTGGAGGAAAATTTTAAACATTTCTGCCGTAATCATTGGTGTCTTTACCGTTTTCTTATTGATATTTTTTCATTAGACAGTACTGTAAATGAGATCTGGAGATTCTTACCGATGTTTTACGCAAAGAGAGATAAGCATATTTGTGATCGACTCTGTAGCCATTACCTTGCATTAAAAAAAATCAAAAATAACTTTTTTAGGCTTAATATAGTAGCTCACATGAATCATTTCAGTGGACTATTTTTAAAAATGCTAGCTGAAGACGTTATTTCGTATGACCTTTAATGACTGTTATTTTTTAAAAGAAAATTTATATTATATAACTGATAGGTAACAACCAGAAGCAGGCTCTACTCGCCTCTAAAATAGAACATTCAAATTTAATCCAACTGATACCATCACTTAGTTCTAGTGTACTCTCGAATCTGTTTCTTTTACTGACTCTTGCCATTTTTATTTTATGTGTATATGTATTTCTATAAATCTTACTATGATGAATCATTCATTGGTGCTAAAATACTATTTATAAATAGAATAATTTATATACTATAAAGGTAAAATTATTTTTATTATGTCCGCATAATAGATGATTCGGGAGAATTTTTTGTCCTATCCGTCCGTCTGTATGTCTGTTGGTTTATCTGTTGTCTAGCTTTGTATTGACAATCCCTCTGTTTGTCCGCAAAAACTTTAAACTTGCCCATAACTTCTGTGTGGGAGGATCTATGACTACTGTGTACTCACTAATTTTAGTGGGGAGGTTAATTTTCGGATCTTTCTGTTATTTCCTAATCTGCTTCATATGAACAAAGAAAATAGGTCTGCCTTATAACGGGGCACAATTGTAACCCATGGGTATTCTCCAGTTTTCTAATCCAAAATTAGACGGTATAGTATAATCAGTGATGGACTGTTTATGTGGTGGGAAATCTTTTCTATAATTCAACTTTCATAGACAAAATAGAATAATCAGGTAAATTAGAATGCTTGTATACGAGCTACTGATCCAAATTATTAATTTGAAATCTATGACCTGATATTATTGATGATAATTTTAAAACAGAAGATCTGCGTCTACTAAGGCTTAGAGTTACACCTAAAAAAACAACAACCTGAAAAGAATTTTTGCAGATTTTATTGAATATCTATCTTTGATTCCAGAAGTATTTTCAATGTATGAACACTTGAAATTGACTTTTTCTGTGTTAACATCTCTTCACCAGCTCCCACATTTTGTTTGCTGCTGTCTGGCAGCCTGTATGGTTTAGAAATCAGGGCATTCTGCATGAACGTGTTCACGGTATAACTACATCTACTGAGCGACTTGGATTTCAGCTGACTCCATCTGTAAATTACGTACAATTAATATTAACAATCTAATCCAAGCAATCTGTCGTCAGGTCCCTCAGTGGGTTTTGAACCCGCTACGAAAGGATCAGCACCTTGTTCTTTCCCCCTAGAGCAAATATTTACCACTTCGCCGCTGGGCTCAAAGTTTTAAATATACTAAGCTTAATCTTAGTAGAAGTTACGAGAGAAGGACTATCCAAGGATGATCGGAAAATGCCCCTCCCCCCTATTGCAAATATTTGAATTTAAAATATTTACTGACTGGACATATAACCAGCATCTGTGATTTTCCCTTAAAAAGAAAAGAGGTGTATCACCCCCTCCCCACACCATTTGGCTATTTCTGATGGAATATATTTCATAGATAGTTTTCAAGATGATTTTGCATGATTGAAAAGGGGTTTTCATACTGATATGCTAGAAATTGTAAAAACATCTTTGAAGATCTTTTACTTTATAACGGCTTTGGTGATAAATCTATCAACAAAACTTAATGATGACTGTGATGACTTTAACTTCCTTTATTTATGCATCATTATACCCTTTACAATTTTGAATGGGATTTATTTCTCTAAGTTTATTAGACGCGCAAGAGGATGCTATATCTATGGATAATATCGACATGTAAAACGAGGTAAACTATTGACAAAAAAGTTAATGAGAATAAAATATCATCTCGCTTTTAGATCTTACATATTGCAAATTCAATGGTCGACACAAAGATTCTGTAAGCAAGTACAAGAAAAGTATGGAGATAACGAACAGTATTCAATCTCAAATCCATAAAACAATACAAAATATGAGTAGAGCAAACACGGACCTCCGAAACATCAGAGGTGGGATCAGGTGCCATGAAGGAGTGAGCATCCCCTGCTTACCGGTCAAACCCGCCGTGTGCTCCTTGTCATGATCAGAATAACGGAAAATCCGTCGTCAATTCAGCGTATAAATAAAGGACTAACAATTAGTCTGAAAGACGTCAGTCAGCATTTGACTCAATGATAAATTGGATTTGCTGACAAGGTCATTGTATCGACAATAGAAGTTACGAAATGATGACTTTTAATGAGACTGGTGATATTCTTGTTTCATTAATTAGCGTGTCAATAATTTACCTGTTTTAGAAATTGTTCATACGTAGAGCATACTCCTTATGCAGGTGATGAAGGTATATTGCTGCATAAGTAAGGAAAGTTGGCGATAGAAAAGTTAAAGTCATCACGTTTATCAAATAGCTTGATTGTTAGATTACCATTAACGTCTTTTTCAAGTAAAATATCCAAGTATGAAACAGATGTGTCAGACTCTGTGGTATCTTTCATCTCAAGCTCTCCTGGATATATCGTATCGACGTAGGAATGGAAATTACCATTGTTAATTGACAATACGTCTTCCAAATATCTAAATGTCGAATTGAAGGCCACAACAAGTATTTTATTCTTTTCATGCATAAGATTTTCCACAAATTCTGCTTCATATTAATATAAAATAGGTGCGCTAATAACGGAGCGCAATTGATACCCATTGGAATTCCAATGGATTGTTGGAATACCTTGTCTCCAAAAACCACATAGATATTGTCAATCAGAAACTCAAGCATCTCTTTGATGTCAACTTCAGAGTACTTGTGTGTGCAATCAGAATGTGTTTTAACAAAATAATTTTGCAAATGACCAATGACCAGGAAAGTAAATTTACGAGATCCATTTTTAATGAAAAAGCAGCGTTCAGTGATATCAAAAAGCCTGGACTTTAATTTATCGTGGGGAACGGTTGTGTATAAAGTTGAAAAGTCGTAAGTTTTTAAGCTGATGATTTTGGTAAAATCTTGTGATTTCAAATTGTCCAATAGTTTTTTTGGAATTTTTGAGTATCCACATCTGATTCACACCACTTCTTGAATATATTGTTGCACAGTACTCTTGAAGTTTTTGCTTAACAACTGTCAATATCTTAGTGAGGAGTAACGAAAGAGGCTTGGTTGAACATTTACTGGAACCCGCAATCTATCTTTGTTTGTAAGGATTTTTATGAAGTTTCGGAATTTCATATATATATATAGGGTGGTTTAAATTCATTTTGGATCTATGGAATATTAAAAATAATTTATACTGACATTTGATTTTGAAGAATTTCTTCCTTAGAAAAGGAAGTATGAGTATAAGTAGGATTGCCCTTGTAGAATTTATTCCAAGTTCTTCTAAAATATAATTTATATAATGAGCCTTACAAACGAAGACAATATTGTTACCCGCTTTTTGGCAGGGACCAGTACGTACTCATGTAATCTATCTAATTATTTTTTCACTTCTGGATTATTGAACACAGAAGGATAGATGGTTTTCATATTGCCCCTCAATCTTTTAATACGCGACGTTAACATGGATCTGATACATTTAATCCATTCTGACAAGGTGTCAACTTCTTCTTTTTCATATCTGGCCCATTGTCTGGCGTAATTTTCAACAGAATCCATAATATTTATGAAATTCCGACGCCAGTTGAAGGATCGGGGTCCCTATATTTAGGACCTTTTAAAATAAGTGATCTAAGGTCCTCATTATCAACTATATTTACGTCACCTGTAATAACGTGTCCAGCAGGACTATAGTTATAGGGCGAAGAAGTACATGAACACGATGGAAGATTATGTTTCAGATACTCAGTATCCAGGCCATGTAAAGTTTTTTTGTTATTGAAATTTTTGGAAGCAATTTATCATTGATTCAAATGCTTACTGACGTTTTTTTTATATTAATTGTTAGTCCATTATTTGCACACTGCATTGACGATTTTCTGAACATGACAAGAAGCACACAGCAGGTGTGACCGGTTGGAAGGGAATGATCACTTCCGATTTCCCCCTGATTCCACTTTATGTTTTGGAGGTCAATGTTTACTCAGCTCTTAATTTTGTATTGTTGAATGGCCTTTTGAGCTTGAGTACCGTTTCTTATCTCCATATCTTTTATTCATCCATCTGTGCTAATATTTTATGTATCGCTAGCACTAGCAATGAATTTTTATTTTATATATACAAAATGGCACTCACATTAAAACTACTAAAACTTTTCTTTGAAGAGAATGAATTTAGAAATTCATAAAACGAACAAAAATTAGATTCAGTTACTATTTGTACTGAGATTTTCGACATTTGGCTATCGCTTTCAGCGATGTCGTGATTGAATCATTGCTTGGACCATCCTTGAAATGGCACAAGCTGTTGTGAAATTAAACCATAAATACATATATAGCTTTCAGGGTTATTGTGATGGCCCGATCTGTTTGTCAACATTGTCACATAATATATCATCTCCTATTATTTATAAAGGTTAACAAATTAAGAGGAAACTGTTAGTAAATAGGGTACATGAAGAAAATGTCAAGCCACATAACAGTGTGTTTAAATTAAAATACATTCTTCAACATAACCAGATGAAGATTAAAAAAATGTTAATCATGAATTTATGTAAATAAATTATTTGTGACGTCACAATACAATCATTAGCATTCAACACAATCTCTGGATTACCTGTTTTGGCCCCTCTCAGAAGGTACCATCTATTTGCAATTGACTTTGAAATGGTTCCAAAAAGATTTTACATACTGAAAGCGGTTACAAGAATGTTTCTAAAATGCCATTAATTGATAAATTATTTGGTTTAATTGTTCTTTTTTACCATATTCGATCAATTTATATATTCATTTTTTTTATTCATTTATCATACTTCAGTTTAGAAAAGTAGCCAAACAAAAGTGAAGAAAAAAAGGAGAACAACTATTTTAAAAGTTAGAAATGTTTCAGGTGGATTATGGGAAATGATATATGATAAATACCTCAGGATCACCTATATTTAATTTATTAAAACATACTTTTGTACTCAGAATTTTCTCGTTCTAACAAAAGTTAATAACTAAGAATAAACGATTTCTTATCACTAATCTTCACGTAAGACACCAGAAAATGAAACTCACTTCAGTTATATTACATTTCGAGTTTATTAGCTTTGTTTTTTCATTGAGATTTGTCATTTCAAAAAAGTCTTCATTATGAGTTAACATTTAATCACTGAACCGATAGCATGATCTCCCACGTATAAAAAACATTTTAAGTTCAGATAATCACAATCACAGTATCTGACTTTGAGGTTCATAACAAATGATTAGGTTTACAGTGTGAATATCTCGGAATATTCACTAAGATAAACAAACATTTTGTAGAAGAAACGATAAAACTATAAGATGCTAATTGTACACAATCTAGAAAATCATTAAAAAGCATTTCTTGCACTAGATAAACCTCCATGTTCATATGTTAAAACTAAACTGTAAATTTTTATCATTGTTAGAAAGTACACCTGAATAATCCGACACACTGTTAATTCTGACGTTAAATTTCTTTCCCATTTTAGTATTTTCTGTGTTTTAAACACTGTGCAATCCGACACCATGTCTATTCCGACACATAATTTGAGTCCCAGTGCATGTCGGATTAGACAGGTTTCACTGTACATGTATATGGAATAGAAGAGACAAAAACTGATTAGTTTAAAAAATAGATATAATTGCACAGTTGGCTACAGTTGCACAGTTCTGTGTTGGTTTTTTATAAGTTTTTCAGTAACAGGGTTACATAAATTACAAAGAATACAGTCATTAACACATGTTGTTGACTCGCAGCACTATTGACAGGACATCCCGTCTCTTCCTCTATAGGAGTCGTATACCTCCAGTTACCACATTTAGGAAAATTATACGGTGGTTTGGGAATCTGATTTATCTCTCCGACTTGTAGAATAATACCCATTCCAATCTCGGCGTGGAAATCAACATGGCAATGAAAGAACCAGAAACCTTATAAAAAAGCAAGAGGATAAAACCAATAAGATGATGGTATGTGTGTTTGTTATTCATGCACCTGATTAGTAATTATCCTACATACCTGAAAGAAATCTTTCTCTGATGTGTGTAGCACGTGTGAATTTAAATAAAGGAATTTATCCTACCTGGATTAGTGGCATGTATACGGAGAATGGTGTATCCGCCATTTGCAACAGTCACTGTGTCCTTTTGAACCGACATGTTTAGATTTCTGGTAATGTTTCCTGCTTCGTTAAACCTTTTCACCTCTTGGAGTGTAGTGGATCGGTTAAGCTGCGTATAGATGTAGAAACATCAGGTATTTATTGTCCATAATGCTCACATTTACGTATACATGGTTAAGATTGTCTTTAAGATTAAATAAGTTGGTTTAAGCTATAGTACATATTCTTTGATGCTGAAATGATTAGGGATTTATATTGCATATATATCTTTACATTTACTAAAAATGGAATGGTTCCTTTCACCACATTGTTGTCCTGATTAGGCATTGTTCTTAATTGGAACACGCAGATGATCAAAAATTACAAAAATATGAAAGATAAAGTGATGGTTCTCAAGAAAAGACTACAAATTTGATTTTAGCGACGAACATCAAAATCAATCATTTCATAAGCTTCACCTTATTTGAATTAGGGTAGTCCACAAATTAAAATATTTTTTTTATTTACATTTTACAAACCATTTGCTTAAACATGTTTTAATAGTTCATAAATACAACTGCAATATAGGCGCCCTGGGAATGGTTAAGCTGGAATATACTATCAAATGATAAATATACTCAAATACTTAAAATAGTTTTCTTTTTATAATGCATAAGATCTACGTTTGAAATTTTTCTAAAACGAGGAAATCAATTGACAAACATTCACTTGTAAAGTAACCATTTCAAAGTTGTTTGGTAAAAAAAAACAATGCCAGCAAATTTAATTTATCATTAAATTTTGTATGAATTTTCTGTTTTTCTCAATGACTACATCGTATTTGTTAACAGTCGGCCGGGGAGCTCACTCCTATATGGCACCTGATCCATCTTTGATGTTTTAAGGTCCGTGTTTTCTCTCTTCCTGATTTTTTATTCTTTGATTGAATACTGTTCGCTATCTCCATGTTTTTAAAAGATTAAATAAATTTTTGCAGGCGGGCTAAATTAGTCTAAATTTTTAGATACTTGTAGAATGAGATCTATAAATGCTTGGTGGGATGTTACTTAGTTTTACAAGTGATCGTAACTCTATTCTTTACAGTGCAATGTGAATTGCCACACGCCTGATACAAAATGTAAAAAATACAGGTATCAAAAGTACATATATACTTGTGGCAAAGAATTTGAATTGAAATATAAATTTGGTCTTTGATTAAGTTTCTGTTACCTTGCCCATCCCGACCACTCTGTAACTGTAGCCATGGAGATGCATGGGATGATTGGCTGCAAAGGTTTTGCCTTCGTTCACTATGATAAACTCAACTACATCGCCGAGGTTCACCTTTTTAATGTGGACACATTTGCAAAATTCGGACGAACAGTCACGACCATCATCAAAAGAATCACACATCAGTTCCTGCCAGTACAAGGGGCATTTATATATTCTTTACCAGAATGTAAATACACTTCAAAATCTCTTTCCGATCTCTTTCCTGGTGATACTTGAAAATAAATTCTAAAATTGAATAGTCGAATAAGAGGAAATCAAAATGTATTATATCTATTCACCTTGGGGATATCGTTGTATTGTGTAAGGGGTGGTGCTGGGGGCAGCATTGAAGATATATAGTTGATCTGAGGCAGGTACGCGTGGTCCACGCTCTCTATTGCAGAGGTGGGGTAGAAAAACGGATCGTTGAAATAGTAGTTGTTAATCTTGTTGAAATCCATGGACAGGTACACATTTTTATCCGGAGTTTCCGATAGAGCCTCGTCATTTTCATGAAGGGATATCAGTTTGGTTACAGGAATCAGATCTTCAGATTCTGCTTTGTCCCATGGATTAAGTTGCTTCAAAATCAATTTACAAAAATTCAGTTATATTCGGTTCCGTTTACCTTTATTTTGCAATAAGATGGGGAAGCTAAAAACAAATCCAGCATTGGGAAACAGAGTATATTGAGTTTTAAAAATGTAAAACAGATTTGATTTGTAATCTGTTTTTCATATTATGTACCTTTCCAGAACGAGGCTCTATGTCATATCCTGTAGGTAAATCTGGCAGGTTTCCTTCAGCTCCTTGATAATGAAGAATGGTCTCTTGGTGGACCTTCTTAAAAACACAGAGTGATTCACCGTGACTGCGAATCCAGTAGTTGTCAACGGACTGGGTTGCATGTAGAACAATATCGTATCGTTCACCTGCAAACACTGTTAGGGATTCCACTGTGATTGGTTTTACCGGAAAACCATCAGTAGCTATGATAACGAGGCTATGGTTGTCAATGGAGAACTGGATGGGACATTCGAGTAAACCGCTGCTAATCAGACGGATTCTGTAGCGTTTGCCTTGCTCAACAGACAGCATCTCCTGAGGTGTTTTGATCATGGTATTATCTACATTTGTAAATTCGTGGAATGTTCCTTTTTCTAAAAGTATGAACATTGAATTTTTTTACCTTGATTAACGCAAAATCATAACATTAAAGATGAACAAATAAACGTTTTTAATCAAACTGGAAGTCTAAAAAATGTTTGATTCGTAGTACAAATTAGATTTATTTTCGTACCATTAATGAGCATAGAAGCGGGAGTACTGTCGCCCCCTGCATGATTATATTTGGCAAGTCGATTTATTGCTAATTCCACCAACCAATCATTAATGACTATAGTGTGTTCCAGTAAATCGTAATCATAAAGTCCAAGATGAGGCTCGTTGTCATCCGACTGACGTATAACAAGGGCTCCAAAGACGCCATCCATTCTCTGAACCCCGGAATGGGAGTGCCAAAAGTAGGTTCCTGGGTGGTCAGGCTTAAATCTGTTAGCATTTACAAAAGTTTCTATATGTCGTCGAATTCGACTTTGTCATTTAAAATGATGCAAATCCAAGAAAGTTTAAAGGGACTTACTCTTACTTGTATCTGTCTGCCTGTCATATTTTATTGTAAACAAGTCAAAGAGGTTAACGATAGAAAAATTAAAGTCATCACTATTATCATGAAGCTTCATTGTTAGATTACCATGAATATCTTTTTATAGGAATGAATTATATGGAGATAACGAACAGTATTCAAGATCAAAGTCTATAAAACAATACAAAATAGGAGTAGAGCAAACACGGTTCCCGAAAAAAAATCAGAGCTGGGATCAGGTGCCATAAAACACTGAGCATCCTTTGCTGACCGATCACACCCGCCATGTGCTCCTTCCTGATTGCAATATTATGGGGGAAAATGGACGAACAATAAGTATGAAAAACGTCAATCAGCATTTTACTCAATGTTAAATTTTACTTGCTGACAAGGTCATTGTATCGACCATAGAACTTACGAAATGATGACTTTAAACGGGACTGCTGAGATTCCCGCCTCATTGACCTCAGTACTTCACCTCGCCTTAGAAAATGATTATACGTGGAGCATGCCCCCGCGCATCGAATCAACCGAGATTTACAAACTCCCCTCGCAGGTGATGAAGGTACACTGCCGCATAAGCAAGGGAAGTTGACGACAGAAAAGTTAAAGTAATCACGTTTATCATAGAGCTTGGTTGTTAGATTACCATTTATGTCTTTTTCAAGTCAAATATTTTTGGGGTATCTTTTATCTCAAGTTCACCAGGATATATTGTATCGACATAAGAATGGAAGTTACCATTGTTAATTGAGAATACGTCGTCGATACATCTAAATGTCTAGTTGAAGACCATAAAAATGGATTTTTTTTAATTCGATAATATCGAGGAAAAGATACTGACATTGACCTGCTTTTGCTCCTAAAATAAAACAGTCAAATGTTATCTAAATGAAATTATCATTTAGTTATATCGTTTTTTGAATTTCGAAAATTTCATTATTATTTTCTAAATTAAAAATATGAAAAGAACCAATCCTTAAGAATAGCAATGAAAGAAACGGTGTACATGTGCATGACAATTTCATGTCGATGTCACAGGATATTTATGAGACATCCTTTTCTGCAATTAATAAATGAAGTAAACTTTTTAACATAAATAATTAACATTAACTTGCATCCTTACTTGTATTGGAATGACGCATGCACAGGGATAGCACATTGAGTAACCATGGATATTCCATCCATATGTGGTGAATATCGCTGGTGAAGTCCATGCCAGTGGATCGAAAGTCCATCAGAACCTTCCAATTAGTTGTTTACATTAACTACTATCGTGTCTCCTTCGCACACCTAAAATTTATACAAAATATTAAAATGATTATAGGGTTACATTCCAACATATTTTAATTTCAATGTTTCCTTATTTTTTAATTTGAAATCCATAAAATGTTTAAAAAAGTACCGGCATGCTGTTTCTTGACATTAACCTTAAGATCCAAACTTATACATGTATTTGTTTGGCAGATATTTGCGTCAGGAAACTTTGAGATTTATCTTGAAATGCATTGCGAGCTAAAGAAATGATGAGATCAAAGTGAGATTATCACTTTATCCTTATACATCACTTCATAGGACAATGGACGTATGAGCTATTTCACAATTTTTTTTCCATCGAAAACATCTTGAAATGTGTTGAAAACAATGATGACGGAGACTTACATGGATCCCGGGGCCAGGCACCATTCTATTGACTGTGATTATCCCCCTTTTCGTCCCGTCCGCCGCCACGCAGTGTGGACGTGAACAATCCGTGACGTTGTATGGACAGTTGAAGCATGCTTTGGATAATGTGTGATAGTACTCCACGGTGAAGTTGTACTCACACGTCATCGAAATATGGCTGTCACATTTCCTGATGCATGGGTGATTCCTGTAATCTTGAAAGATAACAACAAAAGAAACTAATTAATATGACAATTTCCGAGTGGCACCTGATCCCGTGGCACCTGATCCCACCTTGAGATTTTGGAGGTCCATCTTTTGGAGCTCCGCTCCTGTTTTGTTTTGTCTTATGAACTTTTGATCTTGAATAGTGATCGTTATCTCCATATGTTTCATTCTGCAATGGCAAATTGTCAGTCATTCATACGTATTTTTGCCTTTCCGATTGTCCTTTCTAAAATTGTTTCTCCTCCTTCAATGTTTGTCCTATCTCAATAAAACTTTGCCCATAAGTATATTTTTCTACATAATTCTGTTCATTAGTTTTTTTAATAAACGGTGAACGATTTTAATATGACTATCAAAAAAATTGAAAAATTTAATGAAAGCCTTTAAACACAATATTTTTCTCTGAAGAAATATTCAGATATCATCCCATTTTGTGAATCAATTAAATATTTTTCAAAACCATGCAAATCCACAACCGAAATGCACATGTTATTTAATAATAAAGGAGCAATATATTTATATCCATGACATATATAGAGATAACGAACAGTATTTTTAGCTTAAAAGTCCATAAAACAATAAAAAGTAAGCGCTGAGTAAACGTCAGAGATGGAATTAGGTGTCATGGAGGGGTGAGCATGCCCTGCGGACAGGTCACTTCCGCCGTGTACCCCTTGTCATGATCGAGATTCGTCGTCAATATAGTGTGTATATAATGGCTAACAATAAGTATGAAAACTTCAGTCAGCATTTGCATCAATGATAAATTGTATTTGCACAGAAGGTCATTGTAATGAACAAAGAAATTACGAAATGATGACTTTAAACGAGATGATGACTAAAATCGATACTGCTGATATTCTTGTTTCATCAACTTGTTTGTCATATAGTTTACATTGTTTTAAAAATTGCATATACGTAGAGCATGCTCTTGCATATCGAATCAACTATGATACTTAAACTCAGTATGCAGATAATGAAAGTATATTGCTGTATAAGTAGGGGAAGCTGACGATTGAAAAGTCATCATGCCTCTTTTCTTTATCTTAGGCTTTCTAACGAAAGAGAAAAAAAGATGGACTGTATTTAAAGGTGAACGAGACTTTAATAATTGTCTTCGTAGTCCAGGCCTCAGGATCATGAAACAGACTTAGGCTTAAGTCAAAATTTCGATCATCTATAAAATTGTTTAAAATTCTGAAATGAAACTCTTAATAAGCAAATGGCATCAGATTGATAATACTAAATTGGAAAGCATTTTCATTTTGAACTGCTTATTTCTAAAAATATTTCAGAGCCATATACATGCACAACTTTTGAATTTAGCTTAAGATGCTTCATGATCCCTGGGCCTGGTCCTCTAACAAACTGTTCGTATTCTAACTGGCACTTATTGTGCTCTTTTATATGCTGATCTACATATTTTACATTCCTATGGAGAAAAAATTCTTTTAAACTTCTACATAATTAGAAAAAGAACACACTTGCCCTAATCATGACATTTAGATATATCGAAGATTTTGCTCTCAATTAACTTGAGTAATCTCCATTTATATATCGAAACGATATATTCTAATAAGCTTAAAATAAAAGATACCACAGAGTCTAACAGATCTGTTTCATACCTGGATTTTTTTTTTACTAGAAAAAGACGTTCATGGTGATCTAACAACAAAGCTCTATGATCATGATGGCCTTACATTTTCAATCGCGAACTTTCCTCACTTATGAGGTTTTTTAAGTGTAGTACAGAACCTAGACGGCTGTGGTCGTTTGATAGGGGATTCATACACCTCCAGGCGCCGGGATCATGAAACAGATATTGACTTACGTCAAATTTTCAATTGCCTGTAAAATGTTTATTAATTAACGAATTAATCTCAGAACTTGCAAAGAACAGCACTTTTGTGAATCAATATTTTAACATATTTTAATTTTGATCCGCTTGACTTCCACAACATTTAAGTACAACATGAAGATTTTGAATTAAGCTTAAGACGCTTCATGATCCTGGGGCCTGGGCACCTGATCCCACCTTTAGAATTTTGAGAGTACCTTTGTATACCAACTACATGTATGCGAATTTTTACTGATTCAATTTTTTAGCTGGATCATTGTTCAATATCCAAACCCCTTTCGGTGAAATCAATTATCAATGACAGATATAGTGTTATTAAATAAACAGGGCAAATCGTTGAAATTCACACTTAGTGGAAAAAAATATTTACAACCTCCACTGAAGCATCGACTGGCAACGTTTTACCTAAGGTTGTCATTTTCAACTTTTACCCCCAATACACGAATACCTTGAAATATTGTTGAAGTCACATATCATCAACTGATACATCTACAAATTTGAAATTTTGAATGATTTTAAAGTTAATGAATTTTGGACGAGGACTTTCTTCACAAAATGAACACTTTTTATTAATTTTGATCTGACAAAAACGCCAAAAATAATAATCTGATGTTAATTTGTGAATCAAATTTGATTTAATTTGATTACGAAAATTCATTAGAATTATGAATTGATTAGATTTTATAAGACTTGAAATATATTACTTACCTTGGAACAGGTGATTACATGCCACAGTAAATATATAATAGTTTAAAAAGAGCACAAATCCTTTTAGCATATTTAAACAGCTATTTTGCAGTGTATTATACTATATTTTTTAACAAGTATGGTTTTTGAGAACCCGGATTAAGTATTGATGCATAAGAATAAAAGGGACTTGTTCCCAACTTTCAGCAGACAGCTCAAATAGGACAGGGCTATTCAAGTATCGGTTCGTCAATTTGCTTTGAAAAGACATGGTTTATATTTCTCTTTTACCTGCTTACATAATAAACTGGGTTCAGTGAATATAGGCTTCCAAGCGATTTTGCAATTGTTTGTATTAAGAATGGCCTTAACAATTTTCTATAATTTTATATTTCCACACGCCAAGGTTCCCAAACAAATACGTATAGATTTCTTTTCCTTAAGGAATTGTACTTAAAAATTTACGAA